ACAAATCATAGACACAGGAGGCCATTGTTACATAATCAAGCACTAATCATATATTGACAATACAGCAAACAAAATATTGAACACTGTAAATAATCAGGAAATGCTATATAGAGAGACACACATAAAAATGGCTGATTAGTCTGTAAAAATTATCTGTAAAATTGTTACTGTACAATAGGCCACATTTTTTTTCAAAAACTTCCAGTGATCTGAAAATGAAATAATTCCCAAAGCAGAAGACAAAATGCAAAGAACCCTAAAAACTCTGGGCCCTTACAGCACAAAGCTGAGCTACAGTAAGCTTGCAAGGTGTTCACCATTTCCCTCCACTGAACCAAAAGTGACCGGAAGTATCCCATAGGTTGAGAATTTCCTAGCTCAGAAAGCTTCTGCACCCAGACTTGGGAGGTAGGGACGCAGCACCATCAGACCCACACAACAGCATCAGCCCACGGTTCCGGTGGACGCTCAACCACACAGAGGCTCCACAGTGCAGCAAAAATGGAGGTGCTTGTCCTCTTGAAATATATCGCAAGTGCTTTGGAAAAAGACCTCCGGCCTAGTGGCCTTACAACCTTAGGTTAGAAAAAGTGGCCCTAAAGAACAATGGCAAAAATCCAATAGTATTTCACAGGACTCAGAAAAGAGGAAATCCCACATTGTGGGGAGCACCAGGGAGTGGGGATAAAGGCTACAGTTCCCAGGGAGCCTTCCTGAGGTCACAGCCGGGCAGACACAGCCTCAAACAGTGCAACCTGAGCTACAGCAGCGACCTCAAGATGCCAGTTCTTCCTCTCCATCACCAACATGCCAGGGCTGCTCAGGAATCGTAATATCTCTGCTGCTTGCTAAGCACCAACACTCCCAGATCTCCCCTCCCTAGGCCTGCTGTCCCACAACGCACTCTTTGTCAGGACTTCTGCAGTTATCTATGGTCAGCTCAACCCAAAGATCACAGAAACTAAAATCTGGAAGAGGGGAATGGGCAATGGGAGAGGCAGGTGGTTGTTCCCTCTTCATCTGTCAGGCTGAATTCTCAACGACAGCACAGGGACAGTCACTCTTGGCCTGTTAGTCTGTATCCCAAATCAAGTCGTAGCATCTCACATGCCACTGGATTACATTAAAGAGAAGATCACAGACATCTGAGAACCTCCTAAGCTCTCATCAAAAACAGTCTCCTCTGGGCCTTTGTTATTTACCATGTTCTTTCCTCATCTCCTTCATCAAACAAGTAGATAAGGGACTCAAGGCCACTGTCCTGCAATCCAACAAGGACTCAGCACGCTCAGGACTGCCAGTCATTCTTCCTCATGCTTCTCCAGAATGAGGGAGAATCAACACCTTAAGTAATTCTCTCTTTCCTAGAGATGGAGATTTCTAGATCTCTTAAGGGCAAGTTCACATCTTCAATTCCTTCCTGTGGTGTCACTTCTTTCTCTGAGTTAGTGCTCCTCAAACTTCGGTGGGATCTCCATGGAAATCTTATTCTAAGGCGGGTCCAGGGAGGCCTGAGGCCCTGCATTTCTAAAAAGCCCTCAAGGGATGCAAATTCTACTGGGCCACCTGCCCTGTGTGGAACAGAGGATCTAAATTCTCTTGTTACTGCCCAAGTCAGTGTGACCCAGTGGGCAGCACCACAGAGTGCAGATCTAGTGTTGTTGCCCTTCCTTTTTACCCTGCTTGCCTCAGGCAACAGAGCACTTGTCAGGCCTGGGGCCCAGGCAGTCTCTCTCTCTCTCTCTCTCTCTCTCTCTCTCTCTCTCTCTCGCTCTCGCTCTCTCTCGCTCTCTCTCAAGACCTGACATGAACAATATCAAGGCAAAGGAGACTACAACCACCTTGACCTTTTCATGGGGGACTAAGTAAGTGGGGAAAAGGCAGATCACCCATAGTGACTGTGCAGGTGAGAGAGAGCATCTTCTGCTGGCAAAGACTTTTTGGTCAGCCTGTGTCAAAACCTCTTTATTCCCCCATGGAAAGAAACAGAATTCTCACCCCCCCCTTAAAAAAAAGCAGCGCACAAGAGCCATATGGAATTCTCTATTTTCTCCCTCACACCAGCTGGTTTGGGATCTAAGTACAGAATGGCAACTGCATTGATTTTGGAGCCAAGAAAACCTCACAGCACCCGGGAGGGCTCTAACAGGGTGGAGTTCAGTCTCGCCTGGCCTGCACCATTGTCTTTACTAATGAGTGTTAAGGTCTCCCAGGCTGGCTCCCAAAGCGAATGCTCCCCACATTTTAGGCTTCGGAAGCATCTTTTCGTCTACTGGTCATTGGTTGATGCATACATTAAAACGACATGTGAGTAGAGACCATTTCAGGATCTAGGAAGATAATTATTTACATCAAGCTCAGCGAATTTGTTTCTTTCCTAGGTTATGGAAGTCGCGATCGCTTGTAATGTCACCAACGACCAAATACCATGTGAGTCTCAGAATGTCTCATCACACCATTCCGAAGTTACACACACACACACACACACACACACACACACACACACCTCTCAAAACTATGGATTTTTAAAAATTTTTACTTTGTGTCTAATTTAGCCGGCACCAAAATCTATGATGACTGGAATGTCCTTGGTGCCAAAATCCAAGTGGAATGGACAAGGGACCGAGGACAGCATGTGCTTCTGTGCCTCAGGCTCTGTAGAGACTAATGGGCTGCACATCAGGAACAGCACCCAGACCTTGTGTCTTCAGTGTCCACCACGTCACCCTTGGAAAACCCAAACTCTTCAGCATTCTCAACCAACTTCACTTCAGAAAATTAATTAGAGTCTTGTATTTCTGTTCTCAGCTGGTATTGCTGCTCAGAATGCTAATACTCTGAGGTTTGGTCAAAAGTAGAGAAATCTTCCTGCAATGCTCATACAGGGAGCTGCTCAACGCTTAGAGAAAGTCTTCAAGAACAACAGCTAGAGAGAGGTACATCACCCCTGCCCCCTCCATGATATTGGTGTTTACTCTTTTTTGTTTGTGTGGTGCTGGGGATGGAACCCAGGCCCTCAGGACCAGCTACCTCTCCCAGCCCTTTTTTCATTTTTGACAGGCTGTCACTAAGTTGCGAAGTTACCTAGGCTGGGTTCAAACTCATGGATTTCCTCCCAGCATGCATGGATTATAGGCCTATGCTTCCAACACCAGTGTAATGTTTACTCTTTGTCACACAGTTTAATGAACTAAAATACAGGAAAGACTCAAATTCCTTCTGGATTTCCAACTGGCTTAGTATCATCAAATACTTTGAAAATGAACGGCCACATCTCACCTGTAGTTTCTGATAACTTGGGGAGCTTTCTTTTCCTGCTGAAAAATATTCCTTTCCCATCTCCCATCTTGAATTATGCACAGCCAATGGCTTTTGGGGGAACCTTTTTTTTTTACAAAATAGCTTGAGATATAACTTAAATATCATACAATTTACCTGTTTAGAGTGTACAATTCAATGGTTTTAAGTAGATTGACAGAGTTGTGTAACCATCACCACAATTTAGTTTTAGAACATTTTCATCACCCCAAAATAGAATTATTATTCCCGTTTAGTAGTTAATCTCCATTCCCAACTTCCCTCAGCCTCTGGAAGCTACTAATCTATTTTTTGTCTTTACAGATTCATCAAGCCTAGAAATTTCATATAAGCAGAGTCATAATGCATTGGTTCTCTCATGTCTGGCTCCTTTTGCTTAGCACTGTGTTGCTGATGTCTATTCATGTCCCACACCGTATAGCAGTACCTCATTCCTCTTTAATGCTGAACAGTAATCCCTTGCATGCATGTAGCACATCTAATGGCAATTTGTAAATCAAGATTCCATAATCCCCTGCCTCCTTTAAAGGATCTCAGAGAAAGGATCTGGATGCCCAGTCCATCCTTTCTCAGCTTTTCTAACCAGGATTAGCTAGGAATGCTCAGAACCAGCGCTGAACAGCCATATGTCAAATGAAGGAATGCATATTCCAAGAAATAGAACTGACTCCAAACCAGATTTCAGGTTAATTAACCTGATGCCACAATCTAGGTCTGAAAAGGAGAAAGAAAGAGCTTTAATTATGGGTTTTATGACTGCCATTCAGTGGCATCTTGCACTATCTCTTAGGATTGCTCTCTACAATTCTACTTGTCATCCTTACTGATATATCCCTCAAAAAGCAAGCAACCATTTGGAAAAGGTGACATGATGGGCTGACACAAAAACAGCAACACTTTAAGTTCATTTCTGTGTTTCTCTGACCCACTACCAACCCACTATATCAACATTTTGTGCAATCCGAACTACAGCTTGTTGTTGGCAAAATCAGCGAGTCAGTGTCGCAAAATACTAAGCCATGTGGGGTCTTGGGAACATGGGAGAGTGAATGCGTGTGTTGCTCAGCATTCTCCCCATCCTGGGTCCCCAAGCGGACTTGCACGCATTGCATTCCGACCTAGCACCCAGTGGTCTGAGAGGCTAGTGTTCATCATGAACAAGGACAATGGAAAACGGGCCCCGCAGACCTACCTGGTGGAATTTGAATACACTGTGAAAATTTCATAGGCTTTGATGTTAAAAGAGAGTAGTGTCAAATGGCAGGGCTGGGCGGACACTGGGGATGCTCAGGACTCTGGTCCAAGGCTCCTTGACTGCCCTGGCCTAGTTTTAGGTTGCAAGTTGTACAGGTACGGTTCCCTCCCCCATGGCTGGTTCACACATGAGAAACTTCCTGGGTCACCCAAAGACATGTCTCACTGTGTATTGTTTTCTTGGAGAAGAAGAGGTAGGGGTGAGGAAAGAAGGAATGGGGGAAGAAAGTGGAGAATGATGGGGTGGAATGGAAAGGGAGAGAGAAAATGAAAGATGATCAAAAACTTTGTAAAAGGCTGATTCCATTCACACCCAAATGAATTGATCAAGCAAAACATGAATATCACCAAACTGAAAGAGCCATTACAAATCATAGTAAAGATAACAGTTGACTTGCTATTAGAATTCTCCCCATGGCTGTATTTACCTGGACTGCTCAAGGGGCTAGCCCTGTCCCCCAGGGTTGGCACAGGATGGTACTGGTGGTTCTTTGAGCCTGGGTACATCCAGTGGTACCTGCCAATTTCCATTTCAGCTCTGCTGTTCACTGCCAATTTCAGGTGGCAAAAAGTCAGTGTCTCTGTCTCCAGCAAAGATTCTATATCAGCATTTTATGTTATTCTTTTACCATATAATTAAAGGAATGGGGAGTTCAAAAAAATATGCCATTGAAATGCAACCCTTCAGTACCAGCTTATCAACTCAGCATGATAAATGTAAGAATGTTGGAGTTTCTGCCTCCATTTTTGAATTTATGTTTACACAAAGCACGAAAATTGTGTTGTCTTTGCTCAGTTTCTTCACTCCTTCTCCAAACCCACCTCTTAAAATGCTCATTTTGGGAAGATACTATTTATAGTTCAATTTTGGCTGCTCACAGTAGTTTTCTTTGTCAATTTCGCTTTCAGACCAACAGAGCACTATAATTACCGCCAGCTGCACAAGCAAAGGTGAACACAGGCTCACTCTCCAAAATTGTCCCCAGTTCCCATCCTAGGAATCTGGCAAATTATCCCGTAGCCTGCTGAATTCTGAATGAAATGAACGCCTGTTCTTCTTGCTGACATCTATGGTATTCTCGGTCACCTTATCTTCAGCTCAGCTTGTCAGAACCTAGAATGTTCTGGATTAAATCCAGTCTCGGTGATCTCTGTTGTGTTACAAGGGGCTGCTGGCCTAGGGCCATCCCACTGCTTACTCACTCAAAGTAGTGAAAACTGGTCCCTTGGGAAATCAAGTCTCTACCTGGTGTTTCAACCATATTTCCCACTTCTTAGAGCTTCAGAGAGAAAAACGCCTACCAATTTGCCTGGCACAGAGTAGGCTTCTGGTAACTGTTAGATGAATTACAATCTTGAAGTCCCTGAGAAACTAATAGGGCACTATGGCCAGTTTTCTGCCTGAAAATCCCATAAAAACTAATAAGGGGTTATATCCTCTGGGGTACCACAAATATTTAGGAAACTTAAAAAAATGCTTCTGTTATTGACTGCCAGGAGAGTGGGTTCAAATGTTCCACTTGGCACCGCAGATCATTGAAGATAAAGGCTAGTGAATAACCATAATACAAGGCAATGAGCAGATACCCTGACCAGGCCCACTGAACATCTCACAGAGACTGACCAAAATGCCAACTCTGTTCTCCACCAACTCTGAAAACTCTCCAGAAGTTTTCATTTGGGATTCATTGACATCCTTTTCTAGGTGGTGTTTTACAGAAAATCCTTCTGGTTCCAAGGTAAAATAAAAATGCCTTGTTAAAAAGGCAAAATTAAAGATACTTGGATGAGATCAGACCTGCACAATTAAACTTTTTTCCTTTTGCTGTCAGTAATGATGGCCAGAGCTATAATTGATGGAGGGCTTAGGATATGCTAGTCATGTGAAGCACATGGTACCTGTTACTTCATTTGTCACAATTACCCTATGAAATCATTATTCCATCTTGACAAATGAAGAAAACAGAGCAATGAAACAGGAAGGGTCACCGGCTCATGATAATTCAGCCACAGGGCAGAGGAACCTGGCGCGCACCTGGGCAATCGACCTCTAGAGGGCGCACTTTCAACAATACCATAGCCTTCAAAGCCTGAACACTTGCTGAAGTTTTCTGTTCTCGCAGAGGCATTAAACGAAAGGAGAGTTTTTTCTGAGGTCCACATGGAGGTGAGCTGGGTCTGTGTATTTTCCAAAAGAAAGGTCCAGGTCCTCAGATATTGATATGAATTCAAGGTGAAAGTCCTAAACTCTCACTCTTCCTTGGATTTAGATATTTACTATTTTAAGAGATTCTTGGGGACAAATGTTGTGCTCCATTCTCTGAAGCAAAGAAATGCAGCTAGGCTGGTGGAAACAGCCAGAAGGTCAGTCTACTTCATGGTACAGTCAATTTTCTCTTGGTGGAGAGGTTGTGAGCCCCTCTCATTGTCCCCCAAGCAAGTGGATTCTAAGTAGCTCTATCACTCTTAATATAAACATTTTCTTTGGTGGTGGTGGGGTATGCATTGGGAATCTAACCCAGGGTCTTATGCATGCTAGGCAAGCACTTTACCACTGAGACTCATCTGCTTTTTTCACATTGTATCTCTACACACCCAGCATGCTGTTGGTACCCAATAACTATTTGTTGAATGAATATTTGGTTGAAAGCAAAGGAACACCTTGGCAACTTGTGGCCCAGAAGTGGCCCCCTAACCTTGCTGACTTCCACCCTAGCCAGGCCATGTGATTCAGAGGACTCCTCCATACCAGGCATTCAGGTACTGGCTGCTGGGTGACAACAATGAAAAACCATGGACCCCCTGCAACATTGATGTGTTTTCTGAGAAAAATAAAATAAAACAAATGGCAGCCATGCTTGAGACACTTAACCTAGAATAAAAATATGGCAAGCCAGCAGATGCAGAGATAGGATTGGGCAAGTGGATAGATGTTTTCGAATTCCTTTGACTAATTCTTCTGGGGAGGCCTTTTGACAATAGTAAATCTTTAGATATGAAAGAAAAGAAAGCCACTTCTATTTTATACTCTTGAGCAAAGCTGAAATTAAACCATTAAATCTAATGTTATTTATTAAATCTCAGAGGTCACAATACACATTTTATTCTAAGGACAGGGTCCCCCCACTGAGAAAGAGTCATTTGATTTACAAGATAAAGCCTCTGCTCAAGTGGTTTTTTAAAGGTCCTGTTCTATCTAGGCATCTGACAAGAACGAGGCAATGGCTTCTGCAGAAGGTTCTTCCTTTGAGATCAGAAGATAGAGGAGAAGGGAGTGGTGGAGGCTTATGGAGTGGTCATCGCCAAAGGCAGCCACATCACAAATGAGAAATTGAGGAAAGGAAAGCAAAACAATGACTCATTACCTTTCCCCCCATTTGCTTGCTGTGATCAGTGACAGGGATGATCAAGCAAAACTGCAGACTGGAAGGATTTTTTAGCGCCTAGGAAATTAACACTGGAAAGAACTAAGTGACACACACTGAGCTGCCTGGAAGGACCATCTTGGCTGGGCAAGGTCTTTCAGGGATCGAGTGGTCATCCTTCATTTTTAGTTATTAGTTAAAATATTAAAGGAAAGCTATCACAACAGAATTTAGTGAAGGCTGGCAAACCATGGGCATCTATTTTTGTAATAAAGTTTGCCTGGAACCCAGTCCCAGCTATTTGTTTCTATACTATCTATGGCTGCTTTCATGCTGCAATGGCAGATCGGAGCAGGTGCAACAGAGCCCTGGGACTTGCAAAGCCCAAAATATTTTCTACCCAGCTCCTTATGGAAATGGAATGTGAACCCCTGGCATTGGGTATAGTATAGTGAGGCTTGACTATATTAAGCAGTTAATGCATTCCATACAATCAGCCTGTAAAATAGCACATTATTTCATTTTCTCTTGTTACATGCCCTGAAAAGAAATATTGCTGGGATAACTAGGGATCAAGATTCTCCTCTTTGGCACCACCTTCTGTTACTTAATTTGCCACCAACCAGCAAAATTATGGTTAAATTCACAATTATATTCCTAGTGGTACCTAAGATGGGTTAGCTCCCTGCCACTCCTAGAACATAAGCTGAGAGGACAGGAAAGGATGACATCTCAAAGGAGAGCATTATTGGATGGATAAATAAATAAACAAATGATAAATGACAAAGCACATTTGCAAAGCTGGGATCGGAGCCTCCCTCTCTCAAAGCCAACATGCATCTGGCTCTTCCTCCACCCCATAGCCACCCCTTTTCCTGGCCAGTCATCTTATGTGTATGTGCATCTGGTCCAAAGGAGAGGAAAGCAAGGGGGTGTCTTTGGAACAATCCAATTCATCTCCGGTCCTGGTGAGGGGAAGTTGACATCATAAGGACACCGGCTGTACTGCATGCTCTCAGATGTAGCAAGACTAACAGATTATTTTACTGGGCTCATTTACTCTAAACTGAGCCGTACTTCCAAGTAACAGAGAAATGGGATCTTTAGACTTGCAATCTGAATTCAGATTTACATTCAATTTCAAGGAATACAAGTATAAATTTCCAGAAATAGGCCAGAATTCTTTTTCTAAAGGATCAGCAAGGAGCTGGAAAAGCATGCTCATGGAATTGATGATATAAAAGTAGATCACCAAATGGCTCTTTCAGATCTTTCTCCACTTTTAATTTTTCTTAAAAAAAAAAAAGTCCCCAAGGGATGTCACATCATACCCACCACATGTGTCCTGCACCTTCTGGCTGGCCACTTCACGGCCTAGTCCCCAGACACCGCCTCTTCAGATGTCCACCCTGGCAAATTCTTACAGAGAATAATCTAAAACTTTCTCTGGTCCATATTCATATCAACAAGTCAGAAAATGTCAATTGAAATTAACTAACTCAAAGACCATTCCGAAATGTCAACTTCATCCCTTTGGGTTATAGCATACAAGCTCAGAACATGGAGAAGCACTTTTCTCCCTGAGTGAAAAAGGGCCATCCAAAGGCACACAGGTTTAGTTAACTTTTTTAAAAATGTAAGAAATTATATATACTTGATAAAAACATTAAAACAAACTTGCTAGCACAAGTCAATAATTTGAATTCATTTCTTACTCTGACTATACCCTGCAATTTATTTTAAATTAAACATTATTTCCAATTGACTATATTTTTCTTCCTATGTGGTTAGGAACTCAGTTTGATGCCTGGATTCTAGAATTTATTTGAGCCATGATTCATAAGAGCTAAACTAGCACGACTGTAATTACTTCAGTAGCATCCAATTTCCTACACATAATAAAAATAATTTTCACCACAGATACTCAAAAAATTTTTGTACATAACAGAGTATAAAGAGTTGCTGGGATTGTTTTTCTCCCTAGTAATTACATGCGCCTAACAATTCCAGATGCATCTGTTTTCACAAATGAATTGACATCAACTAATATTTAACTGAAATAAATGGAAGCCTAGCTCTCCATCTTTTTATTATTGGACCCCATGATCTATTTCCTTTGATTCTGTCTTACTCACTTCTGCACTTATTCCATTTTCAGTGAATCTGCTTATCCACTCCTCACAGTTTGATTTAATTTAATGCTCTCAATTTAAAAACTATCATTTGAAATCAGCGAGTGTTTTGTACATTCATCCGAGAAAGCCTGCTTGCTTTCCTTTTAAAATCCCTGAATATTTACTGAACAGTTCTTGTGAATTTTGGTTACCCAGTAGTATTCTGTGAAAAAAGCAATGAGGCACTTTCAAAAATACAACTGCTTTCCTTTTATAAAGACTTGGATTATTTTTGTTCAAAAGGGAACAAAGGCATTCTGATTTAGTTTTTAAAGAAATAGCTCTCAGGGTAGGAGTTAGTGAATCACAGTGGCTGGGAAGAGTTGTCCTGTGGGAACTCCCTCCCGGGAAAGGACACAGACTAGAAAAGCTAAGGCCAATTTATAAACCTGAGCTTCATTTATATTCTTAATAGACACCATAATAATTACCCAAAGCTATTAATTCACCAGCTATCCGATGGACAACTGTATCCCGAATTAAGGGACAAGCACTGTCCCTGTCACCAACAACTGAAAACAAGTGAGAAAAGAGGAACAGAGGAGAAAAATTCCATGTGCATAAAAAACTCCATGTGAAGTGACAAATGCTTAGGATTAAATTTAGGAAATGAGGGCCACTCAGCAATGGCTTAAAAAAAGAATGGAGGTGGTAGATAGCCACCAGCTCTAAGATGATACAATGCATTCTGTAAGTAATGACGGCAATTCTATAAAGATTAATTTCAACGAAATAAGCGTTTATCCAGTAAACTGGAAAATAAATCAGAGGGACTGCGGGTGTGAATGAACACACGCAATCACTGTGGCTATTGTTTTATGGGGAACTTAATACAACAGGCAAGCAAACTAGGGGAGCTGTGGAGACACTTGTGTGAGTCCGGACCCTGGGAAGCTGGTTTATGAACTTGTTCATCTAAAGGAACATTAGCAGAAAAGCCGCCCTCCTCCAGGCCAACATTGTTTTTTTTTGTACCGGGGATTGAACTTGGGACCTTGTGCAGGCGGCGGAACCACTGAGCTAAATCCCCGGCCCCAGGCCAACATTTTGGTAGGACACGAAATGATCACAATCCTTGTGGCTATAATCAGTAAAAATCAATAATTTCCTGGTCCGTATTCTTATTCAAGCATGTATCCATTATATGTGTGCTACTATTTTTTCATCACTTCGTGTTTCTGAATTATTTAGTAAACAGCTAGTGTTTGTAAGTTTTGGTAATTTTAAAAGTTCCTCCAGGAATTATTTTTTCACTTTTAATTTTGCCCCTAAAACTGCAGCTGGTGAGTTTTCGTATACAGGTTGTTAGCAATGTAGTGGCAACCTGTAGGCCTGTGATTGAATAATATTTAAGTGGCATAAAATTAATAACAGTCCATGAAACAAAATGATGATAAGATACACAATTGTTTAGGAAGGGCTGGGTAGTGGTTATATATCCTTTGGTTGCTTTAGAGAGAAAAACACGAAAGATATGTTTCTGCAGTGATCAAAATGGTTTTATTTGCCAAAGGCAAACATTGTATCAGTAAAAACAACTACGTAGGAAACAAAATCATCTAGTTTAGCGAACAAATTGCTATAAACTGTGATAGATTTCTTAAGGATAATGCTATTACATTATTATACCCCTCAAATAAGCAATCAACTTAGTCTCTGATCATGGACATGAATCTTTAAACTTTTATCTCACTTCCTCAGCTTGATGAATATTCCCAAGAGCTTCTCATACTGCCACCTGGCCACTCACACAGATTTGAAAAAAAGAAAAAAAAGACACCTACAAGAAAAGACAGGGTGGTTTGATAAAAGGATCGAACTAAACTACCAAGTTGAAAATTAAACTGCTGTATGCTCAATGCCACTGAATTCTAAAATGGAAAAATGGTTAAAATGGCAACTTAATGGTATGTGTGTTTTATCATACTTTAAAAAATAAACTTAAAAATGTAATTGGTCCATTTAGGATAAAATGTCAACATATATGGAGATTCTATATAAAAACAAGGAGCCTTTACCCCAGCATGCTCTCAAGTTGAACCACACAGAGTTGTGCTTTTCCTAGGTTTAAAATGGTTGACTATCAGCAATTTCATCTGGTTCAACCTACATAGTCACAAGGAAAATGTAGTTGTGCCTTCAACCTGGAAAATTACTATAGTTTAATGACTGTCACTGGGCTTGAGGGCCCTGAGAAATAACTGTAGCATGCTGGCTTTTGATATCAGAGTCACTGCTGCTATAGAACTATGTTTTTGCACATTTATGATCGTCTAACAACGTCAAGTGAGGGAAAGCGATTACAATGCCGTGCGATGCCATTAACCTAACAGTGGCTGACCTGATTCCATGGGGCAATCACACTTGACGTCAGTTGGGATTCAGGAAAAGAGAGATTAATTTTTACCTTCTATTTCCTGCCATTATCTTACTACGAAAATACCAATTTCTTGAAAAAGCTACTCTATGTTTCAGAAGTGTGACGTGGTCTAAGATTGCCTTTAAGGAACAAGATCTTTAACAATTTTCCTACCCCAAATCTTTTACGTTGCGAGTAGCAAAAGACCCCTATCCCATCAGCACCAGCCTCCAAGTATGAATGATTATTACATGTCACAGTCAGGGCCTGATACATGGAAAGAACAATCATGTTAGATAAGAAAATCAGAGAAGGTCCAAACCACTACCGTATATTAGTGGAACCAAAGCGTAATTAGCATGCATGCCCCTCTAGTCCCTCCTTGGCATTAACAAGGGACACACATTCCATGTCCTTGGACTATCACATGCAGAACATAGCACCTCGGTTATGATTAATGAAACTCATAAAAAGACAGTTTCCCCAGCCCAGCCGCCCAAGGTGACAAACTACGGACATTCTTCTGTGAAAGATCAAGTTCCATAGAAAGATTTACAACAGGAATAGGTTGCCGAGAGGCTGCTCTGTTAATTTAACATCAGCTCACAGGGAACCACAATCCTGAAAACAAGCTCATGCCATAGGGATTGTATCAGAGCCATTTTCAAAGAGGGACAAAACCCGGCTAACCCTTTTCAAGCACCCTCAGTGAAAAGCTTTAAACAGGCTATTGTCAGAGCGCTGGGTACCTTTTCTCTCTTGGCTTTGTTCAGTATTTTCCTCGGCTGCAGTTTCCATGGCTGGCTTCATACCATCCACCAAAAATGCTTTTGCCTGCTCCCCCCAACACACACTTTTTTTTTCCTCCTCTTCCTTTTCTTTTGGGCTCCCCTCCGTCTCTTATTTACACCCGCCTGATTGAGCGGCTCTGTTCTTCACTACAGTAGATTACAGTCCCTTCCAAGATGCAAAAGTCTTGTCAGCGTCAATTTTGCTCTGCCTACTGGTCCATAAAGACAGCTGCCAAGAAGCCGGCAGCCATACGTCACCAAGGATCCCAGTTATAAAACAGCCATTCTGCACCGACTGTACCCCCACTCTCAATGCGGCTGGGGGAGGATCTGCTCTCTTTCTTAAGATCTCTCTCTCTCCCCTCCCTCCTCTCTTCTTGCCAACTGCACCCAGTGAATACTAATTAATTTTTCCAGGAAAGAATAGATTGGTGACATCAGAGGAAGGGCCGTGGAGGAGAAAGAAAAGAGCCCCCTCCCACCACGTGACTTGGTTGGCCACAGTGTATGTCGTCTCTCGGGAGAATGTGTGTCCTCTTTCCCATGCCACCCTGTTATGGGCTAGCACAGTTTTACTCCCTCAATCTATCCCCAAACACATGTAAAACATATCTGAAGGATGTGCCCCCGGTGTCTATTCTATTTACTGTTTAAAACGCTACTCTTTAAAACAACCCCTAGACAGGTAGGTTTATTTTGCTTAAATATAAATTAAAGACAAGGTATAACTACACATGCGGGAAGAAAATCCAAATATGGATTCAACAATCGCAATGTAGCAATTCAGTAGTAGAAGCCACTCCTTTGTCAGCAAGTAATATTTGTGATAAGAAGAGAAACTTTGAGTCAAGCCCCGTTTATGAAAAGGCACCCTTCCTTCCTTAAAAATAAGCATCACAAGCATAAAAATAAGCATAGCTAACAGGCATTTTGGTGGTTTCTGAATGAAAACCAACATCTTTTAAAATCAAGTGTGATTCCTTCTAGATGGAGTTTTATTCGTTAAAACGCCTCACTCAAAATCAAAAGGGCATTTGCAAGAGCATTTTAAGTGTTCACCATTGAGGCTACAGTACCCGTGGTGAGGATTTTCATCACCGATTTCACAAGCCTCCCTGCATACTCAGATAGTATTGGACCAAGGTCCTTAAGCCACCCTAGCATGTAAGCCTTGGTCATGATTCTGAGCCACATGTTCACAAGCACTGCTAATTTCGACACCACTTTTAGTGCATTTGGCTGGCCCATTTACCTTCCTCTTCCCTGTTTAAAAAGAAATCATAGAAAGCCACATGCAATAGGAAGATGAGAACGCATAACCACAGGGCGAGGGCCTCCCTGACTTGAGTGAGCCTGCAACTTGGCTATGCTTAACATCCATCCTGGGGGCGAAAACAAGCTGGAGAACACCTCTCCTCAAACTGCTCGCTCAGTTCAGAGGGTCTGTTGCCCAACACCTTTAAAAAAAGTGTAAGATTTTGAATCAAAATCCTCTGCCAACCTGATCTCTTAATGCATCAGTTTTTCGATAATCCCCCAAACCTTACATTCAATACCTCTGGCCTGTTAAACAAGAAAAGATTTAGAAAACCAGCTGAGCCAGCTTCAACATTTCCCTTTAGTTTTACATCTCATTTTTCCCTTTCCCCATTGTCCTAAAAGACCACGCCCACAGCCAACTATGCCCTTAAACGACGGCCTCTGCCAATCTTACTGTCTCCTGGGAAGGGCATCCAGAGGCATGGCAGCCTAAAATCGGAGACTTGAGGTGAGAAAAAAAAAAAAAGAGTCCTTTGTAATATAACTACCTTCATGGGAAAAGCCCATGATGTGCCTTAATGGGAAAGTTTTAAGCATGCTTTGCAAAGAGTTCTTAGGTCCATTGAGACAGGAAGGTGGCAAGTACTGGTGTGTGCTTTGTGCTTGTTCCCCTTAGCAGTTCAAATGAAAATTAAAACCAAAATGAAATCCAATTCAGCACAAAAGAAAATTGTGATTAGCTATGCCATTGTTTTTTTAAAAACATATAACGAAATCATTCAATTCTATTATTGACAAAGTAGAATAATTTTATGGTATTGATTAAAAACTTTGTCTATCTGCCTGTCTGTCTGTCAACAGAGTCTTGCTATGTTGCCCAGGCTGGCCATGAATTCCTGGGCTCAAACGATCCTCCTGCCTCAGCCTCCACAGTGGCAGGCATAGGACACTGCACCTAGCTAGAAATATTATTTGAGTATTGACACAAGAGGGAAGGCAGAATACAGAAGACATTCTAAAGGTAAGGACAAGTCTTAGCGGTGTATCATAGTGACAAAAAGAAATCAAAACAACTGGATAAAATAGTCACAAATCCTCAGGTTGCCACCTTCATCTACTTTCACCCTGAAAAGCTACAGGAAGATGAACAATTTGTCATTTTTGCCTTCTTCGCAACTTCACCATTCTCATTAGGGCAATGATGTATGGCAATTCTAGGAAATTCCCACTATACTGATTCATAAGTAGCCTCAGTCTCGCTGTTGTTTACGAAAGACCATTTAAATGAGAAAAAAAAGTCATAGAAAAACTGTCGACAACACAAAAGAAAACTGAACATATGTTTCTATTATCTTCCAGGTATTCATTTATTTTTAACCTACAAAGCTGGACAGAGAGAATGATTGATTATGAATGTCTCCCAGAACTGAAAATGTTTTTCTGAGCCCCACACTGCAGGACAGGACAGACGCTTCTGGAAGCAGACTACTAACCCTGCCAGAGTGGGTACATGCGATCCAACCTTGGGACCGTGCTGAGACTGCCTGAGGTGACCCGCAGATTCACACAGCGGCTCCTCTCACAGGTGCCAATGTCTACAAGAAGCATTAGGCGGGGCACTGTCACGTCCCCTCCAGGTGACCCCCAGGCTAAGGGGACACAGAACTCTCCCAAACCACACCACTCCCACCGCTACAAGTTCTACAGCACCACAGTGACAATGACTTGGGCCGGAGGAGGCTTCCGTAAGTGCCTGCTGTATGCGCCATTCTATGCTGCCTGACTGTTCAGCCAGTGTTCTTGCCCCAGTCACACAGCCACCAGAGATAGTGTTCAATGCCTACTTGGCCCAGTTTGCTAGAACTGCCCTTTAAGTTTCTTCTGGCCTCAAAATGACTCCTTGGTAAGGACTCACTAAGCACCAAGAAGGGATGTTTTCACATTTCTTCGAACTACTTATTCCTCTGCAATTTTCATGTTTTATAGAACATTTGTGGAACATGCAGAATGCGCTAGCATGATCCTGTCCCGCTGTCCCTCAAAGGGAATCAATGCTCAGGGCAATGATGCCAGAACCAAAGAACCTCGCTTCATGGTCAAGCACAAAATCCCCTCACACCTACGTGAATGAATTTGAAATGAACTATTTCAAATTTTTGTTGAATTGGTATTTTGACCATTTTTGTTGGATGACTATTTTCACACTACTTCTACTGGCAGTAGCAAATATCTGGGCCTTCTCTTTCCTTGGATAAAATAGAATTCAATAGAGCAAGAAATCTCTCTTTCTCAGTACTAGGGAATGAACTCAGGGCCTTTGCACTAAGCTACTCTCCAGTCCATTTTTATTCAGAGATAGGGTTGGGCTCACACTTGTAATCCTCCTGCTTCAGCCTTCTAGTGCTGGGGTTACAGGTACGTACTACCCCAGCCAGCTAAGAATTTGTAAGTAACATATTTAAGGCCCAAAATATACTTTTTATAAAATATCCAAAATATCAATAATTCCATGCTATTTAAAATAGTCCCTAAATTATGAAACACAGAAGCTAGAAACAGAAGAGAGCCGAAAGCGCAGAACATGACTGCCTAGAACTAGGCCCTTCCCATAACCAGACTTCCCCACAGTGTTATCAATTTGGCAATGCCTTGGTTCTCAATTCACACAATTAAACACTTTTTCCTCTAAGGTAGGATTTTGGAATTTTGAAAAATGCCTTTTGATTTCACACTCCTTTTCCTCTTCCTTGATGTTCTTCCTCCTCACGTCCTACATGCCTGCCTTACTGTCCTTCGTGGGAAACGACGTCTCACACAGCTCAGAGCTGAAGTGACAAGCAGAAGTGGATGAGGTAGAGACCGTGAAGCCATTGGGCACGAGGTGTCGACGTTAGTGTTTCTCTCACAGTACAGGTGGTTCCCAAAGAGGCCACTGGGCCAAGCTGGCCAACGTCAGTAACTCCAAGAACACGTGTAGTCTCTTTCAGGCCAACTGCTTCCCACCCTAATCAGCTGTTTATTTAATGACAGGCAGTGTCCTCCTTAAGAGCTTCAGCAGCTGCCAAAACAGTGATTGCTGAGTTTGATAGAAGCCAACTTGAGATGTGAGGAGTCTCTCTCTCTCTCCAGGTGAGAAAACCCTCTGCTAGACCTCATTTCCAAAAGGAGAGCAAGTTTGGTGGCCTTGGGCCAAGGGGTCATGTCATGGATGCAGGCATGGCAAGAAAATCTTCAGCTACCGGGCTGAGAAATGGGCACACTGTGCTGTGAGGGGGCGTGTGCATGTTCCTCACTGGTGGGGACCACGTGTATTTGTCGTAAGCCACGGTCAGCACCGCTGCCTCCCTCCCATCTCTTGTATCAGGTGAGCTTCAACCTAACATGAGTGGTTTGGGGCTGGATCTTCTTGGCTGTGAGGCCCTCCTGGATACTATAGATGTTTCGTACCATCCTTGGCCTCTCTTCATTTCACGCCACTATCACTGCCCCAGCTCTCACAACTAAACACATTGCCAAACGTGTCCCGGAAGTGCAATCACCGCCAGTTGAAAACCACCGACTTAAATCTCTCTACTTCCCTGTGGCTTCCTTTGGGCATGTGATCCTCTCGACCAACGGCTCTCAAGCCTGGCTGCACCCTGCAATCACCTGCCAAGTCCCGATAGTACTAATGCTGGGTGCCACCTAGAGTGGGACTGGCGAGAAAGGGGTGTGTGGTGGGCCTGAGAGCTGTCACATATCCCCAGGTAACTGCGTCATGCAGCCAGCTGCTGCAGGCAAGCAGGGACACAAAACATGTAACACGTGCTGTGGTGACAGTGACACAGCCACAGCTATTTTAGGAAATGTGTATAGTGGGCAGTTGGACAGATGGGTAAGACCACAGAGACGAGAGTCAGGGTGACTCCACTTGACAGAGGAAGATGCAGAAACTCTTTAACCCAGCTGGGGCAGAATAAAACAGCGAGCAACAAAGCGAGGGATCAGGGACTCAGGGTTGACCCCCAGACCTTCAGCTTGGATCCCTAGAAGGATAAAGGGTGTTGTAGGGAATATAAGGAGACCAGGTGATGTGCTGGTTTTCTTTTAAAATT